GTTTTTTGCAGAGTTCCCCGCAGGTTTTTGTCGCTATCGGCATCGGTTTTTTCGGCAGATGCTTCTTTTGCAGAGTTCCCCGCAGGTTTTTGTCGCTACCGGCATCGGTTTTTTCGGCAGACGCTTCTAGCTGGAACAATTTCAGACTGGCCGCCAGAAATGTCAGTAAATATCCCCTCAAAATTCCAGTCTTCTAGCTTCTCAGGTTCTAGAGTAATTAACTTACCCGGAAGGAACTTTTCACGGGCCTGTACGTAGGTACCACGCTTAGCCGAGGGCAGAGCTTGAACTCGTTAATACCCACTTAGACAGGGAACACCCCCTAAGATTCCATCTCTCTAGCATCTCAGAACCCCGAGTTATGAATTCACGCGGGAAAAATTTTGGGAGGGGGGCTCGTACGCAGGTACCACGCTTATCCGGGGGCTGGATTTGAACTAATTAACACCTGCTTGGACGGGACATTCCCATAAAACTTCAGCTCTCTAGCATCTCAGAACCCCGAGTTATGAATTTACGCGGGAAAGATTTTGGGGGGGGGGGGCCGTACGCGGGTACTACGCTTACCGAGGGGCTGGATTTTAGCTCATTAGCACCTACTTGGGCGGGGAACATTCCCATAAAATTTCAGCATTCTAACATCTCAGAACCCCGAGTTATGAATTTACGCGGGAAAAATTTTGGGGGGGGGGACCCGTACGCGGGTACCACGCTTACCCGGGGGCTGGGTTTGAGCTCATTAGTATCTATTTGGGCGGGGAACATTCCCATAAAATTTCAGCTTTCTAGCCTTTCTGCTTCGCAAGTTAGAGCCTTCCCCGTAAAAAACTTTGGCGGGGTCTTACGGGGGTACCACGCGGGAAAGACCGCCCATTTTGGAGATAGGGTTACCCGTAAAAAACTTTGGCGGGGTCTTACGGGGGTACCACGCGGGAAAGACCGCCCATTTTGGGCCCGTAAAAAACTTTGGCGGGGTCTTACGGGGGTACCGCGCGGGAAAGACCGCCCATTTTGGGGATAAAGGCCTGTACGTGCATGTAGATTAAGTCCCCAAAGTTTCAGCACCGTAGCTTTTGCCGGTCTCGAGATGAAAAATCGGTACAGAGGCCCAGCGCACACACAGACACATAGACACACACACAGACAACCTCTTGTCAATATGCGTTTTTCGCATTGCATTGCTGCAAAAAACGCATAAAAAAAAATGACCAGTTCAGAAAAGATTTACCCTTTGTACAACGAATCCTTAAAACTGCTTCGAAACCAATCTTTCGAACAAGATAACGGTTTAATTGCTTCTGGAATCTTTTCACTTGTATCTGCTCACGTGAAATGTGGTAATTTGGGAAATGATAGGTACACCCGCTGCTAAATTTTGAAATATCCGCTAAAAATGTACATGGCAATAAACAATGCAATTATAATCTAATCGAAAGAAAAAAAAATGCGTCTTGTCCACATACATTTGGCAAAGAATCACTGCATGGGAAAAGGGGAATCTAGAAGTGGGGGGAGGGGAGTACTGCCACACTCGCATTGAAACCCGCCGGCAAAAACTAATCTTTTCAAAATCCACTAATTCATGTACAAGCACTTTTTTCAGTCCGCTTCCGAGATAATTTTCGAAAAAGGCAACCATCGATAATTTCGCCAACGAGTGGTTGCTACTGGCAGAGTGCTGTCATTTCGGGCATTCCCGAATCCCTCTGTCTTCAATGGAGAATGAGATGGAGAGGGGCGAGGGGATAAATTTCGATTTGAATTATTTAAAAAAGTTTCCTCCTTATCAACCGAAAATATATTATCAAAACCCACCGAGCGTTGACAAATCGGCATAGCGACTACTCAGTAAAAATAAGTCAACGGCAGCCTGATGGCCCGTACACTCCAGTGCCAAACTTTTATAGTAATCGCTGGCTGGCGACAAATTCAACACTTCCTGCAACACTGGCACTCAGTGCAAGTTGGAAAATTTCATAAATTTACGAATCAGTGCTTCACAGATTTCGGACCATTCGACAGAAAACTAACAGCAGCGGCACGCTGATTCGGATCCTCACGA